CAAGTGCAGCTGAAATCCCCAATAATTCATCCACATCTTTTCCAAACACATCTAATGGTTTCTGGTTTCTGTCTTCATCTCCCAAAAGAGCAAATAGTTTTCAGTTTAGCACACAACCTGAGATTTCAATACCTTTCCATTCAAGACCAAGGACGGTCGGTGTGTATTTGGATCGTGACAGTGGTGAGCTTTCATTTTATAATGTGGAAGAGAAAACACTGATTGGATCTTTCACAGCTACATTCAAAGGTGAAATCTTTCCATTATTTAACCCTGGAAAAGGTGACACATCAGCTATGGAGGTAATACACAGGGAAGTGCAGAGTCAAACAGGTGATGAAGGAAACTGTGCAGGATCAGTTGAGAACAAGACTGAAACTTAATATTGTAAGTAAGGAAAACATTTTCTTTGCTTTTATGGGAAAAGTATCGAATGACCTCACATTACTTTTATACTGACTTACTGAGACATTAAATCAATCAATTCTTTCTGATGTTCAGGTTATTTATACAGTTTAAGGATAAAGCTGAAAATTTGGAGGTCATATTAACTCAAACTTCATGGCTGCAGCATCATTTTATGTAAATATAATTTAAACTATGAATTTCTTGATTATGGTTAAAAAGTTCATTAATGTCTCTATTAAGTCTTAGGACAGGTAAACAAGCAAGAAAACCTTTAAGAAAACATTTGATTCCAAGTGGAAGCAAAATGTGGTAAACAACATGTGTGCTACTGTGGAGGCTTTTCTTGATTTTATTCAAAAGTGTCTTTTCTTCCTCACTTCATTGACAAATCTCTCTTGGGTCTTTCTCTGTTCTGCTTACTTGACAGTTCCATCTTAAAGCTCCTTTGTCCACTATATATGTAATGCAGACACTAAAGCAGTTATGCCAGGATGCCTTACTAAGGAGGATGGTTCTTTAGATACAAGGGGGAGCAAGAGAGTCAGAAACCCAGGGCACAATGATAATGCAGGTCTGATCAAAAACTGTTTATTCCCAGGCCAGGGAGCACTAATTAAATTTTTTTTTTTCTTAAAGTAAACAAAATGTTATCAATATACAAAAATCTCCCGGGAATAAACAAACCCACTTCTAAAACTGCTGGAAAAAAAAAATTCTCTGCATACACTAAAAATCACACCCGGTTCCCCGATGTAACCGTCCCACAACCCAGGATAAATGTTTGATAGGTGTTCATGAGCTGGACAGACATTCCTCTTGCGGAGCGGGGTCCATGCCAGTCTTGTTCCAGGCCGACGGGGAAGAGCCTCTATCCACCCCTATCTTGTCCCTTCACTGGGCCCATCACGCATTCTGCACTGGCATCCATCGCTCTATACCACCGTGGCTCCCCTCACGTCATCGCCCTGTAAATAAACAAATGGGGGCCAGAACAATCGTCCCGGAAGCGACCCTTCCCCAAACCGACTGCACCCGGTGAACGACAGTGGAGACACTACTCACCAATGCAGGCAGAGGTATACCTCTGCCCTGCTGCCAATCACACACGTTGTCTCCCACTGTTACTGTTCCTGCTGTCGGGACTGGGCCGCCACGTCACGCTGACCGGTCTGTCTCCAGATGAGGAGTCACACCCCCATGATCAGGCAGCTGGTCCCTCTTTTCACCTGGCCTCCACGCGTTCCTCCTCATATCTGGGACCTCTCCCCTCCAGTGCTCAGCTAGCTTCCTTTTAATAGGTCTGGACACACCCGTGCTTCAGCAGGTGGTCCCTATCAGCTAATTTGTCCCATGCCCAGGCAGTCAACTGTGAATTAAAACAATGTGAAATAAAACACTAAAAACGTGCAATGAAAATAGAATAACATCATGCAAATAAAACTACACACAAATAAACACTAAAATCTGAAAAGAAACAATAAAAACGATAAATACAAATTTCCACTGTGGGACATATACACTATCTCTGCTCTGCACATAGCTCTCCTGTTATGCACCTAAAATCTTTGCATCGTCTGCTCTTCCACCTGCAGCTCAGCCTCCAATCATTTTGTCAGTGTCACTGTCTCCAACCCATCCATCACCTTGTTACCACCTTATAAACAGTTGATTGTCTGTCATTTTTAAAATGTTCTGTTTTTACTTTTAAGAATAAATAATGTACATCAGGGGTGTCAAACTCAAATACACAGTGGGCCAAAATTCAAAACTGGAACAAAGTCGCGGGCTAACATTAATATTTATTGGAAAAAAAAATCTTCCTCCAGATATAAGAATGTATACTTTCTTATGGACTCAAACAAGTTTTGCTGAAAAACTGAATATGGAACAAGCAAAGCTTAATACTAAACAATATA